GTATTGAGAAGCACCCTCTGGGATATTTCACCCCAGAGTCTGGCTCACTTAGCCAGATACACACTAGCTGAGAGCAGCTCAGGTAGGAAACATCCTGGGTGCTCAAGTGTCTCTCACCCATTGGTTGCCTATCTTCCAGAATGCCTCTCTCCAGTGGGCAAGACCCAGCCCATAGGCCATTACCAGATCACACCTATTTCTGAGAACATGCTCTTTATTGAAATGGCAGTGCAACGTGCAGGAGAGCTTCAGAGCTGATCAATGATTGCAACGGTGCCGTCAGGACGTACAGTTATTTGACTCAGTTCAATAAACCTAACTTTCTGGAGCAGGAAAAAAATCTCTACATTTTAAAAATGCTTGTTTAAAGAGCCCTGTAGAGATTCTGTGTCCTCTGCCCCAGCTCATTCCCCAAACGCACCACCATCATGCTATTGCTAATATTCACACTGGTAGGATAGACTGTGAGTAGAAATGTATCAGCATATCGAAAAGCCCCTTGATCTGTAGCCTTCACTGAACCTAAGAGTCTGACAAGAGCTCTGAGTGCTTCTAAGCACATGCTTTTCATCTGCTTGCTGGGAGCCTCATTATCAGTCATGACGCTTGCACCAGTACAGGCAGAGGGGTGTTAGCATCTATCCAGTGTTTTTCTGAGATGGCCCGCAAGGACCCATTCCCATCGTGGAACCTCTGGGGTCATGGCAGTGGGTGAGAAGTTCTCCCCAAATACAAGAGGTGGTGGCAGGCAGGATAAACAAAACATTTTGTAGGAGCTAAACACTTTACATGCACCACATATTTTCTCATTGCAGCAACTCCATGGGGTCAGTTCTATGAATGGTCTCATTTTCAGAAGAGGAAACAGGCTCTAAGATACTCAAAAAAGTTTGAGGCTATGAATAAAGTGCGAGACTTTATGTAAAACAACCATAAAAACTCCACTTTCAGGCATTGCCACCATAATTGTGTTTGAACAAGACTCCACAACCAAAATCAAGAGCGTTTAAGAACCTCTGAACTAGTTTATGTATCTACTCTTTCCGTTTTAGAGATGAAGGGCCTGATGCTTAGAGGAAGAAAAACAGAATTTCTCAAGTCAGCTCAAGACCACTAAGCAGTAGGGAGAGAAACTGGAGTTAGAATGCCTACAAGTAACAATCATACAGGCAGCCGGTATTTGTTGATAGCGTATTATGTGTCTGGTACCATGCTTCTCAAATATGAGCTCATCTAGCCCTCAGAACAACCATAGGAAGTGGGTTCTCTTTGAGTCCCCTTATTTCAGATGGGGAAACAGAGACACAGAGATTCAGTCACTTGCCTAAAGTCACAGAGCTACTGAGCAGTGGAGCAAGTTTCAAAACAAGGCTCTCTTGGGCGAAGGCCCGGGCTCATGACCAGGAGGCAATCCTGTCTCTGCTGAGTCAGCCCTTAAGGCTAGAACTCAAGCTCCACTAATGAGTCCAATGCCAGATATAAAGTAGGTGCTCAGGAAACATCAGTGGAATGCAATGGACTTTATATTCTAGGTGGTCTTCAGAGAACACTGAAATCTATGCATTCTCCTATCATCAGCTGACACTGTCCACCTTGAATGTGCCTCATCAGTGATCACAGACAGTTGCATAACCACATATCAAGGGCTATGCCCTCCCCAAGTTCCCCCTCCCATCTCCCTCTGAGCTGGACTTGCTCCTTGTGACAGCAAGAGCTTCAATGATAAACTCCTATACAGGGCTGAGGAGTGGGAAGGGCTCTGTGTCTGGGTGGCCACAGGAACTTCAGCAGCATCTCCAAAAGCTCTTGTACCCCACCTCCCATAGCCATCACCTATTGTCCATGTCTGAGACACCATCCTCAAGTCTAGAAGTGCCGAGCACCATGGGCGCTTCCTGCTGTACCGATACTATGCAGGGTGGGGCTGGCAGAATGTGGAAGCTGGTAGTGGATCCCAATGGAAGGGACCTGATGTACAAAGTCCAATAACATGTGTTTTCTTACTTTAGTCTTATTTTTTTTAACTTTTGAATAGATGGTTTGCAATTCTAGAGGTTCACGAGGATAGAAAGTGAAGAATGAGACTCTCTTCATCTCATTTCACAAATCTGGGTTTAAATGTCAGCTCTGCAAGAATCAGCCCTTGTTTTGCTGCTTCAGGCCTCCATTTCCTCATCTGCAAGAGGAAGATAATATAGCACTTCCCTTGGAGGCTGGCAGTGACTATTAAATAAGAGAAGGCCTTGATTTCCGCACAGTTCTGGAGAATTGGAAAATGCTTAATAAAGGTTAGCACTTCTTAGTAATTCCTTAGTATGTCTCTTTGTGTGTGTGTTTCTTGCTGTAAGATCAGCTAAAACACAGAACCCTGCATACGCACAAATTTATACATGTTGAATCTTATTTCTGTGCAGCCATCTAGAAATACATTGTCATCCAGTAGACACATTTAACGCTGCACTCAATGTGTGTCTGTGTGTGTGTGTGCGCGCGTGCGTAATTGTTCAGTACATATAACAAAGAGGTGAGATGATAAGCAACTTCAGCAAAGTCTCAGGATACAAACTCAATGTGCAAAAGTCACAAGCATTCCTACACACCAATAACAGACTAACAGAGAGCCAGATCGTCAGTGAAGTCCCATTCACAATTGCTACAAAGAGAATAAAATACCTAGGAATACAACTAACGAGATGTGAAGGGCCTCTTCAAGGAGAACTACAAACCACTGCTGAAGGAAATGAGAGAGGACACAAACAGATGGAAAAACATTCCATGCTCATGGTTAGGAAGAATCAATATCATGAAAATGGCCATATTGCCTAAAGTAATTTAAAGATTCAATGCTATCCCCATCAAGCTACCATTGACTTTCTTCACAGAACTGGAAAAAAACACCTTAAACTTCATATAGAACCAAAAAAGAGCCCACATAGCCAAGACAATCCTAAGTAAAAAGAAAAAAGCTGGGGGCATCATGATACCTGACTTCAAACTATACGACAAGGCTACGTAATGAAAACAGCATGGTACTGGTACCAAGACAGAGATGTAGACCAATGGAACAGAACAAAGGCCTCGGAAGTAATGCCACACATCTACAGCCATCTGATTTTTGACAAACCGGACAACAACAAGCAAAGGGGAAAGGATTCCCTGTTTAATAAACAGTGTTAGGAAAACTGGGTAGACATGTGCAGAAAGCAGAAACTGGATCCCTTCCTTATACCTTATACAAAAATTAACTCCAGATGGGTTAAAGATTAAACATAAGCCCTAATACCATAAAAACCCTAGAAAAAAACATGGGAATATGATTCAGGACACAGGCACAAGCAAGGACTTCATGACTAAAACACCAAAAGCAATGACAACAAAGGCCAAAATAGACAAATGGGATCTAATTAAACTTAAGAGCTTCTGCACAGGAAAAGAAACAATCATCAGAGTGAACTGGCAACCAACAGAATGGGAAAAAATTTTTGCAAGCTACTCATCTAACAAGCGGCTAATATCCAGAATCTATAAAGAACTAAAACAAATTTACAAGAAAAAAACAAACAACCCTATCAAAAAGTGGGCAAAGGATATGAACAGACACTTTTCAAAAGAAGACATTTATGCAGCCAACAAACATATGAAAAAATGCTCAACATCAACTGGTCATTAGAGAAATGCAAATCAAAACCACATTGAGATACCATCTCACGCCAGTTAGAAAGGAGATCATTAAAAAAATCAGGAGACAACAGATGCTGGAGAGGATGTGGAGAAATAAGAGCGCTTTTACACTGTTGTTGGGAGTATAAATTAATTCAACCATTGTGGAAGACAGTGTGACGACTCCTCAAGGATCTAGAAATAGAAATACCATTTGACCCAGCAATCCCATTACTGGGTATATACCCAAAGGATTATAAATTGTCCTATTATAAAGACATATGCAGACATATGTTTATCGCAGCACTGTTTACATTAGCAAAGACTTGGAACCAACCCAAATGCCCATCAATGACAGACTGGATAAAGAAAATGTGGTACATATACACCATGGAATACTATGCAGCCATAAAAAAGGATGAGTTCATGTCCTTTGCAGGGACATAGATGAAACTAGAAACCATCATTCTCAGCAAACTGACACAAGATCAGAAAACCAAACACTGCATGTTCTCACTCATAAGTGGCTGTTGAACAATGAGAACACATGGACACAGGGAGGGGAACATCACACACCGGGGCCTGTTGAGGGGTGGGGAACTAGGGGAGGGATAGCAGGGGGTGGGGTACTGGTGAGGGCTAACATTTGGAGAAATACCTAATATAGGTGATGGGGGGGTGGATGCAGCAAACCACCATGGCATGTGTATACCTATGTAACAAACCTGCACAATCTGCACATGTCCTCCAGATCTTAAAGTAGATAAAAAAAAGAAAGAAGGTGGAAAAAGAGAGAAAAAAAATAAGAACAAGGGCAACGAATAGCAAACAGTGTCTGTTTGTCTGTCTAAGCTAATCTGCAATGTCCAATTCAGTAGCACTACCCACAGGTGGCTTTTGAACACTTCAAATGTGGCTACTATGCCTGAGGAACCAGATTTTACATTTTAATCCATTTTAATTAATTTAAATTTAACTAGTCACAGGTGGCTAGTGGCTACCATATTAGACAGTGACATCTAATAGTTCTTTTCAGAAAGGGTACCATTTTGCAAGTTGTTTCCCAGTCTTGCAAGGACCTATGTGGGCTAGCAGTTGCCTGCTATTTGGGTGCTCTGTGATGACCACTTATTTAGTTTGATTCTGCAAGGTGTCCAACCATGTCTGTCTTGGGCATGAATCACAGAGCTCAGCACAAAATAAATATTCCCAAATGTCACTGATGAACACTCAAAAAGAAAAAAAAAAAAAAAACCAAAGAGGTGAGTTTACTCTTCAAGAAACTCAAATTGTTTGCAAAACCTTCAATAGAGATTACATAGCCGATAATCAGCTTTTACCTTGCTGTTGACTCAACATTTGTCTTAGTGATCTTCTCTGAAACGACGTGTGCAGATTGCAGGATTCACTTCCTCGGCCGACCACGAGAAAATTATCCCCAGGCTTCAGTCCCTTCCAAGGAAAAAAAGGATGAGGCAGGAGCAGGTGGCTATAAGTCCCTCTCTGCGTCTCCCCCCACCCAAGTCGCTCTGAAATATCACTTATCAGATGGCTGCAGGACAGTCTGCTGTCTTAATTTGCAGCCACTCCACTTTTCTGTTCCCCGCCTGAGAAACAGAGGTAGTTGGGAAGTAGCTTGGACCAATTCAAAGAACATGAATGATACCAGCTTCAACATCTGCTAGCTTTGGGATCTGGGGTTAATGATTCAACCTCACTGACTATATTTCTCATCTGTAAAATCAGAATAAGAGTAGACCCCTTCATGGGGCTCAGGTTTGTGTTAAAGACAGTATGAGCCTGTATATTTGGTAATTTTTCCTTCCCTTAGATTCTCAAAGTGTGCTTTCCAGATCACCAGCAGCAGCTGGAAACTTGTTAGAAATGCAGATTGTCAGCCCCACCTCAGAGCCACAGAATTAGAAACTCTGCAGGAGGGCCCAACAATCTGAGTCTTAACACACCCTTCAGTGGATTCTAATAGATCTCAGATTGGAGAACCATTTCCTGGGAGGGCTGCAGCTTTGCAACTCACACAAGAAGACCTGCTTAAAGGAAACTTCTTTCTCGTGCCTCTGACTCTTGCTCAACTCGTGGATTTTCCCATGGAACATGTACCAGGCCCATTTGTACTATTTCTCTTCACTGCTGACTCCCAAGCAAATTTCAGATACTTATTCAGAAGTCACTTTTCTCCAGGAAGCGTTGCCTTCACCACTGTGGGTGGTGCCAATGTTTCTGAAGCCTCTGTATTGCCCTTCTGCATCTACCAAATGGGATAGGACTGCCGGTTTCAGTTGTCCATTTCCCTAACCAAACCCTGAGATTCCAACAGACGGGGCCCGAGTTAATTTCATCCCCAGTGATGAATAGGTGGTCAGTAAATGAAGTGACAGTTTCTAACATTCAACCCTAAGGAGACAGCTTCGTGGCCTCCCGACTGCCTTTCTTCAAGTCTTTGCAGACATCTCAACACACACACTCTGGCCGTTTTCTGACCTCCGTGCTACCTAGGGACCCACCCAGGGAAGTGGTCTCTGAATAGTACTGACAAACCATCTCTAACAGGTACGGATCCACTTATTTGAAATCTGTATCGCAACCCATGTTATAAATGTCAGAAAAACGGAACCAGTTTGTGATTTAACATTTTTCTCTAGCATTTTTCTAATCGCATCTGGCAATTAGATGTTTGGAAAAATAATGATGGAACAACACGGTGTCTAAAAGTTCAGCAAACCTTGTTATACATGGTAAAGAGAATCAGATTGTTAAGTGAAGACACACTTATATTGGGGAAAATTAGGAGAAAATTAAAAATCCCCTCTCTATATAACCAAAACGGGAGGGATAAAAATAAAGGGTAAGCCTGGCACGGTGGCTCACGCCTATAATCCCAGCACTTGGGGAGGGTGAGGCATTGGGTCACCTGAGGTCAGGAGTTAAAGATCAGCCTGACCAACATGGTGAAACCCTATCTCTACTAAAAATACAAAAATTAGCCAGGAGTAATGGCGCACACCTGTAATACCAGCTACTCGAGAGGCTGAGACAGGAGAAATGCTTGAACCTGGGAGGCGGAGGTTACAGTGAGCTGAGATCACACCACTGCACTCCAGCCTGGGTGACAGAGCAAGGCTGTGTCTCAAAATAACATGAAATAAAATAGAAGATATATATAAGAAAATTTAACACTGGGTGAGTTCTTCAAATTAACACAAAAAATATTTACTGAATTTATATTAGAAGTTGGAAAACGCTGAGTGGCTGCATGTCATGGAAGAAATACTGGGTACAAACTACGTACAAACTACTGTATGCTAATCTGAGGCCTGTCCTCATGGATGGCATGGTTTAGGGAAAGAATGACACATAACAAGTAATTTTAACAGGAGTTTACGTCTCTACCAGCAATTATGAGCTGGTGGAGCTCTGGGAAGGCTTCCTGCAAGGTTAACAGTGAGGACAAAGGTGGGAGAGATGTCATATCCAGATAAGAAAGCTGTTCTTTGTAGGGTGGTCCCCAAGCATGAGCAGCTCTGTGAGACGGTGAGAGACTAAATGAGCAGCGCAGGGGAGGTCTTTGCTCTAGAAGGGCAGATCTGAGAGGGGGGCCCAAGTTTTCCTCTTTCCACTCACCACTCCCTGCTGATGTTGGGAAGAGATCTCCTTCCCGTTTTAGGTTTAAGCCAGTGCCTCTCAAGCTCGAGTGTCTATCAGACTCCCCGGGGGTGGGGATGGGATGGAGGGTGTTGTTAAAATGCAGAGTGCTAGGCCCTCCCGGGAAAGTCTCTGATTCATTGTATCTGGGCTAAGGCCTGGGGGTTTTATGTTCAGCAAGTTCTCAGGTGAAGCTGCCAGCCCAGGGAACCCCACTTTGAGAACCGCTGGCCTCACTAATCCCCAGACAGAGACATCAAGTCCCAGCTGAGAGTGTCAGAGCAGGGATAAGATGGTAAAACACAGCCTGCTGCTCACCAAATCCCTGGCACAGGCCTCGTGCACACTCTGAAAGTGTGTCCAAACCACATGGTCCCACTCACGCCTGCCAAAGTCAGTTATCCTACAGCAGGGCCGGGCTTGGGGGGGTCCCCACCCAACACTGCAGAGTTTCAGAGCCCCAAGAACTCACCTGGAGAAAGAGCGTTCCAGGCCTTGTAACGTACATCTAGATACCTAGGTCTTGGCACCTGTTGAAAGGAATCGTGCCTGTGTTAATTATTCCACCCTAGCGAGTGACTCCAAGAGGAATCGTGATAGCTAATTATGAAGCCTCCTCGCCCGCAACCAGATTCCAGATTGAGAAGCCCTGGGTTCTAACTGTGCCATTAGCTCTGATTAGGCATGTGTGGCCCTTTATTCTTGTTGTGCTAACATCCTAAACTGAGTTTCTTCATCTTTGAAGTGGGGATGAGGTCTCTTTATTGTTTCAGGAATAGATGCACAGTTGCTGCTTATTAAATGCTAATTAGTACATGATAAGTGCAATTAGAGGGTCAGAGCTGACTGCTAAAACCGGCCTAGCAGTGGAAGCTGGCCATTCCGAGCAAAACCAGTTTCCCCAGCTCGAGACAATAATTGGGCAGTAAACAAGTCTTGGAGAGCTTGTTTGTTACTGAGGCCACGTTCCAGCTGTTTAGCGTTTACACCTTTCATTTTATGTTTGCTTTATATCTTATGTTTTTCCTCCTCCTCAGAGACATGGACTGGAACACCTTGAGATGTAGCTTGCAAGGTACACCCTGAGTCCACTTGAAGAGCAGGATAAAGCATAGGACACAAATGGGCTGCCTGCTTAGCTGTGGCTGCTTTTCCTGTAACAATAAAAACCCTAAGGTCTGGTGGTATACCTTGCTTCAACCACTCCAGGATCTCAGTTCTGAGGTCTGTAAGGTTTTCTTGCCTTTCCCTTATGGACGTGAAAAGCCTTCTGCAGCCGGGTGTGGTGGCTCACACCTGTAATCCCAGCCAGGGTGGGAGAATCACTTGAGGCCAGGAGTTCAGGACCAGCCTGGGCAACATAGAGAGACCCTGTTTCTATAAAAAAATTAGAAGAGTTGTCCTGGTGTGGTGACAAGCCCCTGTAGTCCCAGCTGCTGGGGAAGCTGAGGTGGGAGGATCACTTGAGCCTAGGAGTTCAAGGCTGTAGTGAGCTAGGACGTTACCACTGCACTCCAGCCTGGGCAACAGAGCTTGGCTGTAAACAAAGGGCTTCTGCCACTCCAGGCTTAAGGGCTGCATTCCAGGCAGACAAAGGAGAAGGAATAGATGGGCTGAACCTGTTCCACTTCTTCCAGGAAAGTGCGTGTCTAACAGCACATGCCCTGTCCCAGCAGGGTTTCCTTAAACTTCACTGACAATCCTATGCCATGGCTACCCCAACTGCAAGGAATTCTGGGAGAGTGAGCATTTCCCAGGATAGTAAGCACCTTGCTGTTCTGCACAAAATCACAGTCTGAGCAGAGAAAGGAGAAGATGAGTTTGAACTAAGCAGCTCCCCATATCCAACTAATAGCTGAGCTCAAAGGCAGTCAGCATTAGGGTGGAAAGCTCTGCAGACCACAAGTTGCTCAGCTTGGGCACTCTAACTTTCCAGCTTCCTGGTTTGTATCGTTATAGAAAGAATCCACTCATACCCCTTCTGAGGGCGTCTGAGAAAGTTAAGTGATGTCACTTATAAAAGGCCTCCATACAGTGTCTAGCACACAGTGTGTGTTCTGCAAAGAGTAGCGATTGGGGTTAGTGCTGGAGTGACAACCTTCCCCTGATTCCACCAGCCCTACTGGGCCCCTAAACGCTTTGCTCTGCCATTTCCAGAGCCCTGCTAGAAGACCAGGAAGAGTGCCTGAAGCCTCTGTTGTTATTTGAGCACAGGCCTTCCTGCAAGCTGGACTTTGCTCATCCTTGTGGACACCGTATCCGTATCCGGAAAGCGCAGACAGTGTAACCACATCGTGGTTTGACCTTTAAGCTCTGGTAGCATAAACCTTCTAGTGTCTTGTTTTTCACGGTCAGAGTCCATGCCACTGTCTCCCCACTCATACGAATGGGCTGAGGGCCAATCTGCTCTCCCAGAACTAGGAAGGATAGAGACTAATAATTACCAATTGATATATAACTTGCCCTAATATTGACCCTGGCCCTGGGTTAGTGATTCTCATTGCAGGGTAAATGATTGGATTGTTTTGAATGTTACCCCGTTTGACATTTTCACAGCTGCCACCACTGTTTTGAACAACAAAATAAGACATCTTAATTAACTGAATGACACAAGGATGAGCCATGCTGTTGCTCTTTGGTGGATAAGGCAGCAAAATTTGCAGTATTTCTTCTGAATCAACTAGAAGGTGTGACTGCCTTCATTAAATATGATAAAAATAGAATATCCCTCTTTTTCCCATCAGAGGTGTGTCTACATTAAACCATCCAAGTAATAATAATGTTATGATTAA